ATATTTGTCTCCGTTTACAACTACACCTATCAAGGGGGGTTATTTATTTTATGGCTTATGTGAATACATACCTCAACAGGTGTCTCATATTTTGTAATTTATGTATAGAGAATGACATTTTTTGTGTAATTATGCTGAACTTCCATCCTTTTGCTTTTCAAATTACCCAAAGCTTCACTAGTAAAGATATTTGTCCTCTTTTCTTTTGCACCATTCATTCTTCTCTTTTTTTACATAAATAATCCATTCCTCACGACAATAATCTTAAAAACTTTTCTTGATGACAGAATTACATCAGTATGGTGGGGGCCCACTAGATTCAGACATTAACGAGTCTTCTACTCCCGATGCCAAGCAAGGGGCCTTACCCGTTAAAACCTCTGTGGACCAGATAGTTGGATCTCATACTTCTTTGCCTCATATGGATGGTTATCATATTGGGCTCCCATCACAAAGATTGTCGTCTAATGTGGGCCTGAGAGCTGGACACAGGCCCATGCAGAAATGGAAGGGCCCCGACAAAATTAGCAAGATATACGGTGACTGGATTGACGACCTCTAGATAACGAGATTTCTAATAAAGCTCAAATTGCATTAGTATGATGGTGTTATGTTGTTGTAGCAGTAATGAAGTGTTGTTTGTAAGCATATCGACTTCCTTTGGGCGAGTACGGGTTTTTTTTTCAGACGCTCAAATTATGTGTGTTTTTTTAATGTTGTGAGGAAATGTCTGGTGACAGTGTATAATGAATGATGTTTTTGCTCTTTTGAGGGTCCATTGTAAGATTGCTCTTATGCGTGACTCTGTTTGTTTTCTTGGCTGTATCATGTCACTATCATCGTATCAGCATCTTCTTCTTCGTGTTTAGACTTCCCGGTAAATGGTGATCTTTGCATTCTACTGGGGATTTTGGTAGAACTTTAGTGTTGCAATATTGTATGCATTGTGGTGTGTTATATCTTGTTTGATTAAAGAGTGTTGCAGTTATTTTATTTTATTACAGTCTAGGACTGTAAATTTGATGTCCTATTTATGTAGAATTTTGTCAAATTAATAAAATGTTTTGTTGTGTATTTTATCTAAATTTGATGTCCTAATTATGTAGAATTTTGTCAAAATAATAAAATGTTCTGTTGTGTATTTTATCTAATATTTTTATATGTTTATCAATAACGAATAGAATATAAATTTTATAATTTTCACAGTTAGCACTGACATTTTCATTGGTGACATAATGTAAGATTGAAATTTTATCACTTCTTTCCGTTTAACTTTTACCTCACTACTGAAGTTAAGTGCAGTTTGTGTTCAGATGAACACTAGCAAGTACCAACCCTTTTTCTCATCTACAAATTTTCCATCCACTAAAGATCTCTACATTAAAAATCTCTTCATTAACACAATAATATGTCAATGCAACTGAGAAAAAAAAAAAAAATGAAAAAGAGCAACTAAATTCCAGGCAAATTTCAAATCCTGGATAATCTTGCATTTTCTGAAGGCTAACAATAACCAGATCAAGTCAAATATCATCCCAATCAAAACCAAAAAAAGAAAAACACAGTAAATAATCATCTAATGTTGAAGTACCTTCAATCCCAAATACTTATTGGTTCTTACAATACATCTCCTAGGCATTAAAACATAACAATGCCCATTTGTACGCACAGAAAGTACAGAGTTCTAAACTAATATACTGCCACCCATATTAGGATCTTCCTTTCCTCACTCCCTTCTTTCCTTCCTCGTTTTTTCAATCGATCACCGAAAGATCAAATCCTATCATAATCCCAATAAAAGGCCGAGTGAAGCAAGCAAGATGAGGAGTGACATCGGGTTACGAGACCAAAAAGCCCACGAGATCTTAAATTTCGACACTAAATGCACAACAGATATTTTAAGAGCAAGTAAGAAGCTACAGATGTTCTTCCCTCAGGCATTTCACCATATCACAAAAGGAAAAAAAAAAAAAAAAATGGGCATTATCCATATTTACAACACAATCACCTTGCTCGGGCACAATCAACCGGCATCAAGAATATCATCAAACAGTTGACAGACGATTGATCAGGTCCAGCAAATCCCACACCACAGGAAAGCCAAGAATATGTTCGCCTTTGAAAATCCATCCAAATCTCAACAGCAGTAAATTTTACGCTGCTAGTGCCAAACAAGCCCCAACACCTATTCAAGAAAATTCTCTGCATTGGTGTTTGCTCGTCTCAGTAAAACATTTCTTCCAAAAATAAATAGACTTTTTTAAGCCAAAAATCTCAGCTGTCCTCATCAACTGCCCCAATATATGTGAGGTCAGTTCTTCTCACTCTCACGGCCCCTTTCAGCCAACTGCAAGCCTTAAGATCCGTATTATCGCCAGTGCTGATGCTGGCTGACCCGGATGAAGGTGGGCCCGACCCTGCCCCGTCTTCTAGAAGAGTCCACTGGTCGATATTTTCGGAATCAGTATTATCATTTTGTGGCTTGTTTTTCAGATTCGAGGATGAACGAGCAGGTAAATTTCGAGGTGGTGGGTTTGGATTGTACTTGGTCACTGTATTGCTCGGCTGAAGACAGGCAAGAGCATTGGGGAATACAGATGGGAGCTGGCAAGAGATTGAACGCTTAAAGTTCGGGAAAATAATGGGCATTGCAGTTTGAATTCGCCACCGGATTATCTCGGGCAACTCCATCCGATCCAATTCATTCTGCACAAATAAAAATGGAATAAGACGTGCCACGATTTTAAAACTACAATGTGCGAGAGGTTTCAACATACTNGGGTCGCGAAAAAAAAAAAAAAAAAAAAAAAAAAATCACCAAAAGCTGTAGTTTTAGAAAATCAAGTTAGTTCTTCATATTATGCATCCACCACTCTAGATTAATTTATCTTCTAAAATTGCACTCTCGAGAAAGCTGTATTTGCTAGGAATAGCAAATTTAAAAAATAACTGGGACTATTTCATAATTGTGAAAAATCTCAATTTTAGTAATTGTATCAAACAAAGGTTTATTGTCAGTTTGGGCAAAATGTCGAACCTGCATGCATTCTGCAACTTCACGATCAAAAGCTGTATATTCCTTGCTGGGCTGGGTGGCCTTGGATTCAGACTTGGGCTTCAACCAGCTGGGCTGGTGACTGCTTAGCAACACATGCAGAACTAGCAGTAGACAGTCGAATATACTTTCCCCGCATATTAGTTTGGCAGAAGCAGAAGTTTCCCTAAGACTAAGAGATTCCAAGTTTTTCTTTGGCGAAATAAACAAGGGGTTATTGACAAAATGGCCAGCATCTTCGTGCACAACCCTGCTCCCAAGGAGGCGCAGAATAACTGAAGCAAGTGCATACCTCAGATTTCGACTTGAAGGCTCCCTGAAAAGGATGCAGAAGAAAATCGTATATATGATTATAAGCATAAACAAGCGATAGCAACGTTAGGTTTTTAGAATTATTGATATGTAAGTGTCAGACAAGCACGACATAAAGCATAGAGACTCAAAATTTCATCTTTTAAACATTCACTGAATCGAATAGTTCGGCAAGTCATAGTACCTTTCGAGTAACATGCATCAAAATTCTTCCAAAAGCACAGATATAACTTCTATTGGACAAACAATCAAAATCAGGGACATAACTCATTGCAATGTTTTGGTCAGAGAAAATGATAAGGAAGTAAAACAAACTAGTAGAAATTCAAAAACCAGCTATGAACACTTTGAGCAAGCAAATGCTACCAAGAAAAGGGCAGGGCCAAAAATAAAAAAATAAAAAAATAAAAAATTACAAAATAAAAACTAGAAAGGACACAAAGTCAAAGATAAAAACATATCACGAACAGACAAATAACATCTCACTCCTATATGTCTCTTAAAAGTCCAAGCAATGGCACCACAATCAAAATTACCTGTCTGCACAAATAACAGGGAGCAACCTAATCAGGAACTGCAATCTCAGAGTCATAGATGCCCGCAGTGCAGCAGGAGAAGGAGGAACAGTATCACCAGTTCCGTTCGACTGCCTCGATATTCCCGGACTCCCACTTTTCCCACCTTTTCTGTTGCTACTTTTACTTGCAGGAGTTCCAACTGCAGGACCAGGAGTGATAGCTTGCTTGCCAACTCCACAAGTAACTGCATTTATTTGTTGCTCGATATTACTTATCTGCTTGACCATCTCACTCGCAAAATTATAGCGCAGGTCATCCGACCCTTGATCGAGACATGGACGGATTAGCTCAACAAGAGCTCTTTCAGTCACATGCTGTTGATTGACGATAAAGCCTTCGACATCCAGAACACCCGATCCTTTAGCAGACATGTTTGAATCTGCCCCTTCATCAACAACTTCTCCTTCTTCAAGGGTCCCGCCTTCAGATTTCCATTTTCCACCCTTGTTAGCCGACAAATTAACATCAGAAGGGCACCATCCCCATGGTTTGCAGTGCTGGGGTTTCAGGGAGAGTTCTTTAAACTCGGCAGCAATATTTAGAACCTTCTGCCTGATCGATTTTTTCCCATAAAGAACTTCGGCACCTCTCAGTAGCCATTTTGCCTGAGACAACATTGAATCCTCGAGCGACTTTCCCAAGAGATGCACAACCTCAGAGAACAAAGGAGCTGCATCAGGCCTGACCAGTAGCCTGGTGAGAATAATTTGAATGAAGTTGCTCTCACTCTCAGAAGCAGTATTCTTATCAGGATTTGGGGCGAGAGACCTTATGGCCTCGATCAAGGAGATATCATTCTCCATCTTCTCGTTGATTGCTTGCTCGTTGAGTAAAAGCCTCAGCTCAAGCCACTGCCAGTGAAATCTCGCCGGCTGCAAAGTGTCCAAAACATGCACAAGCTTGGCCATAAGCTTTTTAACATTTTCACCACACTGTTTTTTCAACACGCCGTGCCCACTAATCCCATTCCTCTCAGCCATCTGCTGTGACAATTTACAATCTACAAGAGAATCAAGAAAAAGCCTCGGGCGTAGAGGAACCATGGCAGCAGCTTTCAAATTGATATCCGAACCATATTCTAGCAAGGTAACAAATTCAGAATCAAGGTTATCTACAGCTATGAGGTCATACAAGGCATAAGTGTCTCTCAGGCATATCTCACGGAAGGGCAGGTGCTTTATGGCATCACTTATGCTTGTGACCAATAACTGATACAATTGGTTGAAATCTTCACGGATCCCAAAGCATGCATCAAGAATGGGCTTCCATACAACAAAAGCGAATATAGAATACGTCGGCGGGAAAACCACATTCAAAGACAACATGTGCTGCATCCTAGACAGAGCTACAATGGAGGCTTCACCTAAAAGGTCCACAATAAATCCATCACAAACAGTTCTACAGTTCCCCACAAGGACCCTAAACCAGTTCAGAGAAACTTCAATCACATTATCCACTTTCAGAACGCCCATGGAACGTGCATTCCCATTTACATTGGACTTCAGACTCCTCGCAAACTGAATTAGATCCAGCCCTTCCTTCAATCTAAACAGACTCACCATCCTCTCAAGGCTAGCAACTCCCTGCAGAATTGAACCAATGACGAGGGCGGAAACAGCACAGGATATTCTAGCTGCTCTCCCCAGAACTGTTAATTTGTTTGAAGTTTCATTTGGTAAATTCGGACTGAAATCGTGAGTCTCGGGAGACATCTGATACTGACTGCGAGCACCCTTAGCAGGGGCAAAAGCTTGCATGAGAACAGAAGAAGCTTCTGTAGCAAGGGCAACTTCAAAGACCCGGCTCTGGCGTTCTCCAAGAGCTTCCTTCAGTATGCATAGGCAAGTGATATGAATGCGTAAAATATGCCGAGCGAAATTTAACGAGCCAGAAGGTGGAGATGAATTTAAGTGCTTAGTGCCCAAGGCTAGATCAGGAATTTTCGCAACAACCTGCCCAATATTGTTAACGATTGCTGCAATAGCAGAAGACACCAGAGAAGGGTCGCCTTCCTGAGCTGCCCCGCCAGTTTGCCTCATACAGTCCATCAATCCAATCACTATTTGCTTAGCAATCTGGTGGCTGTCCTCC